GACGGCACCTGCTCCCTGCTCAGGGCAGAGGCGTCTTTACCTGACATGCCTTTCAGGAGAAAATGGTGGCTGCCAGGTACTGAGCTGTTGCGTTGTGCCACATACTTTTCCTGCTTTTTTGTTTAATTCTCACAACGGGTTATAATATGATGCGCCCAGAGGTGAGGTAATTAAAGCTTGCAGACTCCGTCATCCCCCAACTTTACCAAGGTCTGGTTGACACAGACAGCTTGTGTATTCAAGGTGTACAACGGATGTTTTCATATGCATGTGCACAGTGAGAGGATCACCACAATCCAGCTAATTTAACATCCATCACCCACAGAGTTCATCTTTCTTTTCCTTTTTGGTGAGAACACTTAAGATCTACGTTCTTACCAGATTTCAGGCATGTACATTAGGATTAACTACAGTCGCCATGCTGTACATTAGGCCTCGAGATCTTACCTTATAACAGGAAGTGTGTGTGCTTTGATTGACATCTTCCCGTTTCTTCCAGCCCCACCCACAGCCCCTGTCCTGGCCCCTGGCAACCAGCATTCTACCCTCTGTTTCTATGAGTTCAGCCTTTTCAGATTTTTAGATACAAGTGATATCATGCCGTTTTTCTTTTTGTGTCTAGCTTATTTTTCTCTTAGCATAATGTCCTCCGGGTTAATTCATGTTGTCACAGATGACAGGCTCTCCTTATTACAGCTCAGTAATATTCCACTGTGTGTGTGTGTATGTGTGTGTGTGTGTGTGTGTGTGTGTGTATGTGTATGTATGTATCTCACCTCTTCTTTATTCATTTGTCCATCAACAGACACACAGGTTGTTCCCATGTCTGGGCGGTTTGAATAATGCCACCGTGACATGGGCTGCAGACACCTCTTCAAGACCGTGATTTTATTTCTTTTGGGTGTATTCCCAGAAGTGGGGTTGCTGGGTCGTATGGATTGCAGCTTTATTTTTAGTTTTTTGAGCGCCTCCATACTGCTTCCCAGAGCGTCTGAACCTATTCACATCCCCACAGCGGTGACAGCGCGTCCTCACCTGCACTGCCTGTTGTCTTGTTGACAGCATCCGTCCTAACAGGTGTGAGGTGGTAGCTCACAGTGGCTCTGATATGCATTTCCCTGGTGATGAGTGGCGTGTGCACCTTTTCATGAACCTCTCAGCCATTTGTATTCTTCTTTGGGAAAGTGTCTCCTCGGATCCTTTGCCCATGTTTTAATTGGGTATTTATTCCTTTGCTGTTGAGTTGTAAGAGTCCCTTATATATGTGGGATATTAATCCCTTTTTTTATATGTAGTTTGCAAGTATTTTCTCCCATTCCGTGTTTTCTCCCATTGCCTTTCATTCTGTTGATGGTTTTTTCGCTGTGCAGAAGCTTTTTGGTTTGCTGTAGTCCCACTCGTGTATTTTTGCTTTTGCTGCCTGTGCTTTTGGTGTCACATCCAAAAGACCATCATCGCCAAGATGCATGTCAAGGAGCTTCCCCCGTTTTCTTCTGAGAGTTTTATGGTTTCAGTCTTTATTTTGAGTTGGTTTTTGTATATAGTAAAAGACAGGGGTTCAGTTTCATTCTTTGGTGGTTTTCTATTGGGCTGTCAGAAATGTCATGACTCATTTTTGTAACGAAAAACGTAGAAAAAATAGGTCATGACTTTTCTGACACCCAGTAGTTTTCCTAGCACAATTTATTGAAGAGATTGTCCTTTCCCCGTTGTTTGTCAAGTACTAGTAGATTGTATGTGCATGGGGTTATTTCTGGGCTCTGTATTCTGTTCCATTGATAACATGTGTCTGTTTTTATGCCAGTGTCATGCTGTTCTGATCACGATAGCTTTGTAATATAGTTTGAAATTAGGAACTGTGATGCCTCTAGCTTTGTTCTTGCTCAAGATTGCTTTAGCTATTTGGGGTATTTTGTGGTTCTTATACGAATTTTAGGATTGCTTTTTCTATTTCTGTCAAAAATGCCATTGGAATTTTGATAGGGATTACATTGAATCTGTAGTTCACTTTGGGTAATATGGACATTTTAACAACATTACTTCTTCTGATCCATGACATGGGATGTCTTACCATTTATTTGTGTCTTCTGCAGTTTCTGTCATCACTGTCTTATGGTTTTTAGTATATAGGTCTTTTTACTTCCTTGGTTAAATGTATTCCTAAGTATTTTATTGTTTTTGATGCTATTGTAGGTGGGATTGGTTTATTTGTTTTTCTGGCAGCTCATTGTTAGTGTATAAAAATGTAACTTATTTTTGTATGTTGATTTTATATCCTGCAATGTATTAGTTCTAATAGCTTTCTGGTAGAGTCTTGTTTTCTATGTATAAGATCATGTCACCTGCAAACAGATAATTTCACTTCTTCCTTTCCTATTTGAATGCCTTGTATTTCTTTTTCTTGCCTGATTGCTCTGCCTAGGACTTCAGTACAGTGTTGAATAACAGTGGTGAGTGGCCATCCTTGTACTGTCCCTGATCTTAGAGGGAAAGCTTCAGCTTTTCACCATTGAGTATGTTAGCTACGGGTTTGTCAAATATGGCCTTTGTTATATTGAAGTATATCCCTTTGGTACCTAATTAATTTTTATCATGAAAGGATGTTGAATTTTGTGGAATGCTTTTTCTGCATCTATTGAGATGATCGTATAATCTTTATTCTTAATCACTGTGGTATATCACATTGATTGATTTGCAGATGTTGAACCATCCCTGGAATAAATCCCACTTGGTCATGGTGTATGAGCCCTTTAATATATTGTTGAATTCGGTTTGCTAATATTTTGTGGAGAATTTTTGCATCTGTTCATTAGGGAGATTGGCCTGTAATTTCCTTTTTTTTTTCATGGTGTCCCTGTCTGGCTTTGGTATCAGGTTTATGCTGGCCTTGTTTGGAAGTATTCTTTTCAATTTTGGAAGAATTTGAGAAAGATTGGTATTAGTTATTCTTTAAACATTTGGTAAAATTTACCCCTGAAGCCATCTGGTCCTGGGCCTGCCTTTGTTGGGAGATTTTTTTGTTTTTTAAATTACTGATTCAACCCCTTACTCATTACTGGTCTGTTCAGATTTCCTGTTTCTTCCTGATTCATTCTTGACAGGTTGTATGTTTCTAGGAGTTTATCCTTTTAAGTTATTCAGTTTGTGGGTGTATAATTGTTCATAGTAACCATTTCCACGTTCACAGACAGTCTGTGTATCCTTGTCTGGGAAATGTCTGTATCTTCCACCGTTTTTTCTGTCAGATCATTTATTTTTTCTCATCGCTTTGTAGTTCTCTGGTTCTCCTGGCACGAACCGTGGAGAAGGTTGTGGGTTCCTGCCTGCTTCCCTCGGCCCTGAGACTGAGGAGGCAGGGGAACGTCTTTTGTGGGGTATCTCCAGACAGCACAGGTATGGGCCCTGGGGCGCACTCAGCTCTCGGAGCGTGGTGAGGGGTCACGCAGGCCTGGAGCACACTGGTCGTCACTGACGCTGGGAGGTGTGGCAACGACTTGGCTGCTGGACCTCAGCTTCTTCCTTTGTAAAGCAGGACCAGCAAGAAAACTGCTGCACGAAAGGCAGCATGGCCACAGTGCGGGGCCTTCAGCGCAGGGCTGGCCCCCCTCGCTGTGTGGGTCCTGGAGGGCCAGCCTCCCGAAGGCCACTCCCAGCACAGGGACGTGCGCTCTGCCCTCGTGCTGCCTGGGCTGCTCCCTCTCAGAGGACTTGTGCACCTGCCCGTCAGCCAGAGCGCTCTCCCAGCATGGCTGGGCAGCTCGAGGAGTCGATCTCATTATCTGTGTGTAAATGTTTGTGCACGGCCAGCTCTCGGCTGGTAGTGAATTTACAGACATTCCACGATGGCCCCCTCGGGTCCAGTGTGGGTGTCCGTTTTGCCTCCGTTCCTGGCCTTTCTCCAAACATCACCCACTGCCCATGAGAGATGGCCTCTGCAGTGCCCACCAGGTACCCAGCTGCCCGTTTCCTGGCTGGAGGTGAGGCCGAGGCACGTGGACCGCACGACCAGGTCCGCAGGACCAGCCTGGAGGGTGGTTTTGGATTGGGGGTTTGGTTTTGGTTTTGTAGGTGTGATTTCAGAAGCTCCTTCATTGCAGTCACAATTGTGTCCCCCTGTCTTGCCCATACTTCCCTGTCGTCCATGACGTCGGGACCGTCAGCTCGTGTGGGCCTGCTTTCCGTGAGCACCCTGCCTCCGTCGTGCAGCAGTTTCCACATAGGAAGCAAACGCGCTCGGTGGTTGGGGTTGGCTGACCTGGTGTTGTGATGGAGAAGCAGGTGTCCCGCAGCCGCCGGGGCCGTCCGGTCCTGTCTCCTTCATACCTTCAAGAGCTGGATGCTGTGACCTTACAGAGGGGCCCCCAGAGAAGTGGCCACGAGTGTCCCCCCTGTGTGTCCGCTGTCCTGCTGCTGCGGGGAAGGGACAGAGTCCCCAGGCCGACGGGCTGGGGCTGGTGCCCTCCTGGGGTCGGGGCTTTGTGGTGCTGGCGCAAGGCTGCACATGCCGCTGCCTGGGGACCAAGTGCACGTGCCTCTGCACAGAGGCTGCACTTGCCAAGTGACATTCACAGTAGCAGCCAGATGGGCGGAACCTTCCCGCGTCTGTGTGCCGGCTGGCCGTGGGGGCTCTGCCTGGACCCTGGAGTCCTGCTTGGTGGGCAGTGGTCGGGAAGGCAGGGCTTCCCTTCATCACTTCCTGCAGAATGAGAGGAGGGGGTGCTTTCCTGCTCCCCCTCCAGGGCACTGAACTCCCAGTCCCTTTGTCTCCACCAACAACTACCTCCACAGTCACTTCCCAGCGGCAAGTTAGGGGACAGACTTGGTGGGTATTACGTGTCCCAGCTGCCCTTCAGTTCCCTCCTCCAAAAGGTGGGAGTTCGGGACTCCCCCAGGTGCCAGTTCCTGCTCTCGAGCCCCGCCCCACCACCACCACTGTTCGTGGGGGCGGCAGAGGTGGGGGAGGAGCGGGCCCACTGACGCCGCCTTGTCTTGTCTTGCAGGCTCAGCTGTCAGAGGCGCTGGAGGAGCTGGGTGGCCAGAAGCAGAGAGCGGACATGGTAAGTCCTGAGATGCACTCCCTGCTGTGGGTCCCTGGGGCCAGAACGAAGCCAGGTTTGAGGCGCCTTAGCTCCGGGGCCCCGGGCAGTTCTTGTCCCCATCCTGACTCACCCTGCGGCGCAGATTATGGGTCCCTGACAGCCATGGTCCTTCTTGTCGTCAGAAACACAGGTGGAAAGAGGGCGTGGGGTTTGGAAGTTGAGTCCTGGCTCCCTTGCTGCAAGGTGGGGGCAGTGGTACGCTTACTGCCCAGGTCAGGACCTGTTCCCCTGGGTCTGTGTTGTCATGAGATGTCACTGCACCCAGAGTGCCGAGACTGAGGCTCTCAGCTGTGTGGATGTGCTGGACAGCAGGTTTACTTCCGTTTTCGTACAGGCCTGTCTTGGTGTGCATTTTCCTGGGACCGCATCAGCCCCTTCCTCCCCGGGCTGCCTGAGAGCCTCAGCGGGGCGCGGGCAGGTGCCCCTCGCCTGGGCACTCGCTCCAGTGTCAAGAGGTTGCCTCACCGCCCTGTGGGGGCCAATGGTTTGCTTTTGGAGCCCCCCTGCTCTATGCAGACTGGGAGCTGCCCCATGCTGCTCCAGCCCTTGGTCTGGTCTCTGAGAACAGGAATAACTTAGGGGATGTTTGCATGTGCTGTTGAGGCCGCCCTGCCCCAGACCCCACGCCAGCCGCTTTGGGGGTCCCAGGGCGAGGCTGTTGTTGGCGTTGGGACGTGCTCCAGGATCTACATCATGCATTTCTGCGTCATCACTTGTCAGTCCCCTGACCTTGAGCAGGCCACCTGGCCTCCACCTGCAGTAGGCATCACCTCCAAGTTGAAATGACATGACACATCCTTGAATTTGCTTTATCTGCTGTGAGCCACCCACAGCCTGTGGTTGTGTCCTTGCTGTCACCACCGTCGGTCGTTACTGGAGGGCGGGGCTGGATGGACCAGAAACTGGCCCACTCATGAGGTGGGGACATGGGGGATGGACGTGTGGCTGTGCTCAGCCCGTGGCGGGTTGTCAGGGTGAGGGATGGGCAGACTGAAGGCTGTTGCAGGTTAGGCAGACAGCGTGAGGTGAGGGCTCAAGGGTGGTGTCAGGGTGATGGGGATGGAAGATGGCGGAGTGAGAGTTCAGAGGGGGAGCTGGGGGTCTGAGACGCTGCTGGGTGCTGGGGCCTAGGGCCCAGGGCCCGGAGTCAAGGCCAGTGAAGCATCAGGTGTCCTCACGTCCTTGGCGGGGAGCGCAGGTACTGAGAAGGCAGAGCCCATGGTGGGAGCCCCGACAGGCTCCAGCATCCAGACACTGGCCTGGGTGAGGGACAGCCAGGCGTCAGGGACTGCAGGAGAGGGCAGTGATACCCAGAGAGACCGCCGCGTCACACCTGTAATAGGAGCTGAGAGGAGAGAGCTGCTGTGGACCAGGTGACAGGATGTCACCCATGATCCTGGGAGGCAGGAGAGCGCGAAGGGCCCGCGGAGTCCTTGCATACGTGAAGCGAGGCCGCGTGAGGTGTTGGGGGACAGAGGGGTGCTATGTATCCCTGGGAATGGTCCAGTAGGGCAGGAAGAGTGATGGTGCTGGAGGGACTGGGCTGTTTGGGGGGACAGAGAGGGCTGAAAGCAATGGTCCCTCAGGCCAAGCGGGGAGGAGGTTAGGGCGTGAGGCCGCACAGGCAGCTGGGAGAGGGAGCTGGCAGGAGAGGGCAGTGTGCTTGTCCTTCCCCGTGCGTTGCAGGCCGGGCTGGTCACTGCCATTGCGCTCAGGCCCTCCTTTAGCCAGGTGAGTGTGACAGGAGAGCGGGCTACTGAGATGCTCTGCTGAGTGGAGGAAGAAAGCAGGCTGTAAGACAGGACTGCAGCACGATCGTGTGTGTGACTTGTGTGTTGGCCATGCGTGTGTTCAGGCTGGAGGAAATGCCTGTGGGTGCGTCTCTCCCTGTGGGTCTGACCTGTGTGGGGAGCATTTATGCTGATTGATCAAAGGGGAACCGTCATTCAGGGGGAGGCCAGAGACTCAGCTGATGGCCCTTTACTCTCACCCCGGCGGTCAGAAAGGACTGGGGACCCTGCGGGGCCTGATGGGTGTGCCTGTCCCGTGGCTAAGGAGGAGCTTTGTAAACTGTGAAGCAGTTAGGGACCTAGGGACCGCCCTGGCCGTTCTCAGCCTGAGACACTTTGTGGGGGATGCTCATCTGCCTGGTTTCTCCCACTCATGCACTGGCTAGTCCGGGCTCCTGAAATAGGGGACCTGTTTCTTGCTGACTTTGGGGAAGCCCCGGAGCGTGCGTGTGTGTGGGTGTTCCTTGAAGACTGATGCATCCATTTGAAGAAGCCGTGGGGAGACCCCCATGTTTGTGTGTGGGCACACATCACTTCCTCGGTATTGACTTGAATGGAAGCGTGCCCGACGCCGTGCTCCCACGATGGACACGAGGCAGGCGGAATTAGAGAAGACCTCACACTAAGGGAACGCCAGGCCCTGGCCTCAGGCCTAGCAGTTTGCACGTCACCCACAGCCGTCCGCTTACGCAGACGCCAGGAGACTGCAGAGCTGGTGCTTCAGCCCTGGGGTTTGCAGGACAGACTGCTAAGCCCACCCGGAACCTTCTGGGGGAGAAGGACAGGCTGCCAGCACCCGGCCCCCTGGATCGGGGCGCTGGGTGACCCTGAGCGCTCTGGCCCCGGGCTGCTGCACCCATGTCATCGTGGGGTGCAGGGGGGACAAGGGGCTGGAGGGTGGCTGCCTTCCCACCAGTGTTTTTTGTTATTCTCGACCCATATAGTTTCTGTTACTTGTGTACAGCTCCCAGGAGCTTTAAAATGCTGTTGCCTAGTGCCTCTTCTAGACGAATTACATTGGGATTCGTTGGTGGGGGCGGGAGCAGAGGTATTATTTGCTTTTCCCGGGTGGGGTGGAGAGCCGCCTGTGGACCTAGCGTCCTAACCTGCCCCGAGACCAAGCTGTTCCACACGGAGCTTTGTATGAAATGTGCCTTGTCCCTGTGGCGCAGGGCCTGGCTCTGCCCCGAGATGATCCGAGGCCCAAGATGCCAGCGGCCCTGGTACACAGACCTCGAGCAGGACACCATGGGCACCTTGAGCTGTTCTTGTTTTTGGATCTGAGATGTAGCCGTCTCCTCAGACAGGTTCTTAATCTCTGCCTTTGATGGTCTAATCGTCACCCTATCTCGTGTTGTTTATTTCACTTCTCTCTTCTTTTTCCCAGATAAAGGAAAATTCAGAAGTGGCAGCTCCTGAGCCTGGCATGCAGGCCACGCTCCCCCTGGGGGCTGGGAGCCTCTGTTCTTCCTCCAAACCCTCCCTCGTCTGGGGGTGTCTTCTGAGGCCTCCCGAGCAGAAAAACGCCAGGCCAGTTGGTGCCGGGGTTTGGGGATCCGGAGCTGGAGAGATCTGTGTTCAGCTCCCCAGGGACTGGGGTCTCAGTGAAACACGTTTGATGTGGTTAGGGGGAGGCCCTGCTCTGCTGGTGACCCCGGAGTTGGAGGGGAGCCGTGGGCAGCCCCGGCCGGGCTCTGCAGCCCACCTGCTTGTTCCGGTGACACCTTCCGACGGCTGCCCAGGGGTGTCTCTGTTCCTAGGAGAATGGGGCTCAGGGGGCCTCTGAGTCCAAGGGGCCACTGACTGCACCTCCACGGCTCCGGTGAGCTGGGCACAGAGCCCTTGCTCTGCCACCTCTCCCAGCCCCCAGGCCCCCCACCTGCTGTTTTCTGCCCAAAGTCCGTTTGATATTAAGATAGGAGAGGAAGAAGAAAGAAAAAGTTAAACATCTTTAGCTAATTACAGATGACAAGACCTAGACAGTTTGACTTTCTATTAAATAGCAAACCCGTGCTAATTAGTAAGCATAAGCATAATTCATGCCTTTTTCTTTAACGCGATTAATATCACAGGGAAGATGTCCAGGCCATAGCTGTATAGTTAACCTATGTCACCTGAATTAGATGTGGCCAGCGGCGGCTGCAGAAATCTGTTTTATCGTAACGACAAAACATCCTGCAGTATTTTGTATACTTCAAGGAGAGAATAGAAGGTTTTTTCTGATTTAAGAGGAATGACACCCTCACAACTGCGTGTAATTAAACCGTCGTATTCCTTGAGTCCCTCTTGTCTTGATGGTTCTGCTCCGCGCCCCTCCTCGCCTCCCCGGGGTGCCCTGCTGAGGGCCCGCCTGGGCAGGGCTGTGGCCGGACCAGGGCCTGGCGGATGGCTTCCCGTTGCCCTTCCTTCTGTGTCGCAGCTCTAATGGGCAGGCTGATGTGGCCATGCAGGTGAGGCCCAATGACACGTCTTTTACCGATGGCGTCTACGGCCTGACAGCAACCCAGCAATGCAGGTCCTGCCATCCCGTTAAGAGACGGGCGGGTCCTGCAGGGCCCTGTCTCGTCTGGGAGCGGGCAGTCCCCTGGGCCTCCGTCCACTTGGCCTGTCCCAGCTCAGGCTCTTATCCGAAAGCACCTGTGCTGGTTCTGGGGGCCCTGCTGACACTCCTGCCACTGTGAGGCCAGCAGACCCTTGGGGTCGTGGGAGTGTCCCTGGTTTGGTGCTGGCAGCCGTCACCTATACGTGCAGACTGCCCACGGACCTGGCCTCGTCACGGCCAGTGTTTCCAGCTGCCTTCCAGCAAGTTAGCAGAAAACCTCCTGGCTATGGGACTGACTGCAGCTCGTGTCTGCAGGACCCATCCTGCCATGGGACCAAGCACCAGGCTGGAGGAACGTCCGCCCCCACCGGAGAACTTTGTCCTCAGTGCACGGTGTGTTGGGAAAGGCTCGAGGAAGGGGGTGACCGCTGGAACCAAGAGGAGGGCTCCCTGGAGGCTGAGAAGGTGGGGGTCTTAGTCTAGAAAATAAATTTCTAATGGCGTAATTTCTGGCCATCAATTGCAGAAGATATTTGGTTCTCCCTCCACAAAGGAGAAGGAAACTCCTTGTGCGCGAGGACACGGGTGTCTTTCTGGACGACCGCATTGCGCTGTTTGAGCTACCA